GATGGTGATGGTGATGACATGATGATGATAATGATGATAATGATGGTGATGATGATGGTGATGATGATGATGATGAGGATGGTGATGATGATAATGGTGATAATGACAGTGATGATGAAGATAATAAACATGATCACAAAAAAATTTTTGTTACTGTTTAGGTTTTGCTGTTTGTTGATGCAGAAGCAAAAGCCATTTTCAAGCTTTTGGCTGCCATTTTATACTTGGGAAATCTAGAATTTGAAGGTACAGTATCTCATGATTCTAATTGATCTACAAGAATACACACTGCATTTTGCTCTTAGATGTACCCTGGTTTGCCTTGCCTATTTTTCAGAGGAAATGCATAAGTTAATCCCTTCCTTTCTGTATTCACTTCTCATCATTTCATTTGTTCATTATAATTACATGTATGTCTAAAATGTGTCTGAAAATGGAAAACTGTGTTGACTAAAATTGTTTGTACTTTTGCTCAACAGGAGCAGAAAAGAGTACAGTAGAAGGTTGTGATGTCAGTAATGATGACACAGGACAAACTGCAGCCAAACTCCTAGAGGTAATTATTATTTACCCCCACCCTCCCAACCCCCGAGGTTTATAATCTGCTATAATCAAAGGTTAGGTTCCCTTATTGAAATCTCACAACCACAAACACATACTCTAACAATCTAACACCCATAAGTTCTACACCTTGCCACTCCCACTTGCCACTCCCACTTGTCACGCCCACACACAGGTACCCTATCAAACTGTCCTCTCACCACCCCTCCTGAGGCTTCCAATAAAAATGTTAATCCATCCCTTATCAATGTAACACTCATCCTCTCCCCTACTGAGGCTTCCGATCAAAATGTTAATCGACCGCTATCAATCTTTTCTTTCCCCACCCCTCCCAAGGCTTCCCATCAAAATTTTAATTCGCCCTTATCACTCTAACTTCTCCCCACCCTTCTCGAGGCATCCGATCAAAATGTTAATCCACCCCTATCAATGTAACACTCGTCCTCTCCCCACCCCTACCAAGTCCTCCTATAAGGATCTAACACCTCACCCCTCCCCTCCACAGGTACAATATAAACATCTAACGAACGCGTTCACCAGCAAGTCAACTTTTGCTCGAGGCGAGATGATTTTCTCTCCCGTGTCTATCGAGAAGGCCAAAGACGTCCGTGACGCCTTTGTCAAGGGCATCTATGGGCGTATTTTCGTCTGGATCGTTAATAAAATCAACAAGGCAATATTTAAGCCAAAGGTTAGTTCAAAGGGTAGGGAGGGTTAGTAAGTGTCTCAGGCGAGTGTGTGGACCTCTTTTGGTCAATAAGAAGAACTGTAGGAAGAGGCGTTAAGAATTTAGGATTTTTTATACTGGTGTATATTGGAGACTACCATTCCACATGTTCTAGAGAAGTTGGGATCGCGGCTACAATGCTCCTGTTTCGAGTTCTCTGTTGCTCAGGGTTAGCCTCCATTTTGTGTAGAATATTTATTTGTTCAAGTAAAGGTCTGTGGAATTTCATAGTCTTTGTATCGTTGACGTTCTGCATTCTTTACTTTACTGATGGTAATTATAAATAAAATGGCGCTTAAATTACGCTAACCCTTAATAAATGAGCCTGTTATCAAGGAAAACAGCGGTATTGTTCAAATTCGGAAATGTTCGTGTTGGTGGAGGGACCACCTCGAGCGCAGAGTTTTCCGGCTTTTTGGTCAGCGGGTTGACGATAAAGCAGGAAGGCGCTGGAGGACTCTGGGTAAGAGATTGGTGGAGGGAGGGAAGGGTATCCATGGAGATTGAATAGGACGGGGAGGGAGGGAGCTTCGTCTTTCAACTTTAGTAGGATTAAGCGGTGCCTGCATTTCATACTCTGCATCCACTCTCGTCTCCTCAAGCGATGTCCGTAAAGAAAGAAATAGCAATCAAGGGGATGACGAGTGGTGTGAAGGCAAAGGAAAAAGAACGAAAATCATTTTAACACTTTTTGAAATTTTCCAGGAGTACGAAAATGCAGTGCGGACATCTTTTGGAGTCCTGGATATCTTTGGTTTTGAGAATTTTAACCATAACAGGTAAAGGAAGAGCTTGTGGTTTGTATCTATACAAGAATTTATATATGTTATGTTAAACAGTTATTGAATGTTTCTTTATTGACAGCTTTGAGCAGTTGTGTATAAACTATGCCAATGAAAATCTACAGCAGTTCTTTGTACGACACATCTTCAAGCTAGAACAGGTAATGATGTTGATACAAAGTGTCCATCACCATCGCCATCATTAATAACACCGCCACTACCATCATCATCACCATCATCATCACTAACACCATCGCCATCATCATCACCACCATCACCTCTACTTCCACCATTAAGTGCAGTTTTTCGTCATGACACGGCAAGGGATACGTCAGACAAATCACATTGCACGAGAATTTACTCTCCATCCAATCAAATACCCGGAACACGGCATAAACACGGCGCGAAAACGGTCACGCCAAGGTGACGGCTATGCCAGACTAATCACATTGCGCGTGAAAAAAATCAGTCAATTAAAATTCTAGAAAGCATCACGGTCACGGCACGTCACGCTTACGGCACTGAGCTTTTCACAGTCATAAAACTGCTCTATTCCCACCACCACCACCACTTTATCATCTCCAGCAATACCAATCATCTTTTCCATGAAATTTTCATTTTTTTCTACCTCTTTAGGGCATCTTTGAAAATCACTTATGTGAAAGAGCTTCCCTCAATAAAGATTGTTATCATCTTTAATTGTACAACATTATTAACAACGTAATTTATTTGGTAAAACAGGAGGAATACGACAAGGAACACATCAAGTGGCATCACATCACGTTCGTAGACAACCAGTCTATCCTTGATCTACTGGCCCAAAAACCCATGAACGTGGTGGCTATTGTCAACGAAGAGAGCAGATTCCCAAGGGTAACTGTTGCTATGGTTTTACATACTCGTTAAAGGGGATTGGGGCGAGACCCCTAGTAGAGATAACGTTTCGGTGGTCGTTTTTTGAGTTAATCCATACACTCAGCAAGACATCATTTTCGAATCACAACACATCACTTCACATCAGTATCACATAAATATGAAACATAACATTAGACCCGTAAATAGATTATGCGTTCGGAAAGTCTTGAAAGAAAAGAATGGATTAAAGCATGGATTAGACCATGGTGATATCCACCTTAGCATCTCTGATTGGTCAAAAAATAACTCGTGGTGTCTTGCTTACAGTGCTTCCTAAAAGCACTTGCGAAATAGAATTTGCCGGCGCGTTAAAATATGCTTGTTTTGGGGAGGACGTCAGTGAAAGTGTTTCTATGACATCGTCGGAAAATACAGAGTTTTGGAAGGCACGTGCCTATGGAATTTCGGGATTTGGGATTTCATCGGCGTCCAATTGTAACCATAGTTATAGCTTTATGCAATTTTGCGTTACCAAAGTGACACAGTTTCTCGAGTGTTTTTGATTGGTCGAAAGTCTCATCACCTTTAAACCTTCAATTTTTACTGATAACTTGAAACAAACTCTTGGCTGATTGAAGTCAGGGTATGGTTCACACTCAGATAGAAATAGCTTGTTAAATTCCTCAAATCCAGGAAGATGATACCTTAATAATTCTTCTCACAGTAAAGCCGAGTCCAGGATTCGAACCTGGGCGAGACCTCTAAAATTGAGAGACGCTACAGCACTCTTGATGCCCATGGCTAACAATACGATTTATTTCAGGGAACAGATGCGACATTCTTACAGAAGCTCCATTCGAATCACAAGAAGAACGATTTATATATTTCCTCCAAGAATACCTCTGACAAGACATTTGGAATCAAACATTTTGCCGGCACTGTCTTCTACAACTCCGCAGGTAAAACATTTATCAGATATTGGGATTCCTTTGAATCCCAACCGGCAAGGAGGCAAACCAGTTTTGGCTATTTACAAGCTTGGTCGAGAAACTGAATCTGAACTAATCAGGCATCGGGACAAATACAGTCTCAGCTAGTGGTCACAGAACCACCTCTCATAGATCAAATTGGATATAACTAACGATCAGATTTGCATAAAAAAGGTTTGACGTATCTTATTGTTTACGCAGGTTTTCTGGAGAAGAACAGAGACACCTTTAATGCTGACTTGGTTGATCTGGTGGGCAGGAGTAAGTCGCCTTTCCTGTTGGAAATTTTTGCTAAAGAACGAGCAATGGTAAGTTAACTTAGGCCCTTGCTGAACGAGGAAACATGTTTCCTTAAATATTTCCAAAGGTGGCAAAACTGTCAGGGAACATCGGGAAAATGTTTTACTCAATATCGGTTAGCGCATGCGCACTTTTAAGATAGAGCTAGCGTTGCTAAGTAACGAACTTTTAGAATGTTGACTTTCGTTGCTAAACGAGGAAACATTGGGAAACATTGTTTCCATGCGTCTTGGAAGCATGAAATGTTTCTGCCGCACAGCAGAAACATTTTTGCGTCTTGGAAGCAAAATTTGTTGCACGTAGCAATGTTTCGCATTGAAAGTGAAAAATTCTGCCTTCTGTTTGGTTCCTACTAATGGTCTTCAATTACTAGTATATATATATTGCCATAATTATCCTTTAATTTGTTTAAGTACTGTTTTTTACTCATTGTTTTAGGGCGAAGAAACCCGCAAAAGATCCCCAACTTTAGGCGAACAGTTCAACAGGTCTCTAGACCTTCTGATGAAGACCTTGTCAGCTTGTCATCCATTCTTTGTGCGATGTATCAAACCCAATGATTTCAAAAAGCCGTTGGTAAGTATTTTTTATATCACACATATCCACAACCCTACCCCTCTTTACCTCTCTGACTCCACCCTACTCACTATCCCTTACCCCCCCCCCCCCATACCCCCCCCCCCCCAATCTCCCACCCCTGACCCTACATACCTCCTTCCCTTACAATCGACTGGTCCTTCCCCCTCTTTACCTCAGACTCCACCCCCACCCTCACCCCTCCCAACCCAACCCCTCCCTCTGTTAATCTCTCTGCCTTCTCTCTGCCTCTACCCCACTTACCGTCCCTCCTAATACTCCTTCCGCAACACACCACTGGCTCGTCCCCCTCTTTACCTCTCTGCCTCCATCCCACCCAACATTCCCGGACACCCTTCTTGTAGGGCATTGCCAAGCATGCTGCCTACACAAACTATAGTTGCCATGAATTCTGAATAAATTCTGAATTCTTAAGGTTTCATTTTCATTGTTTTTATAGATGTTTGATCGCGTTCTGTGTTGTCGTCAGCTTCGTTATTCAGGGATGATGGAAACCATAAGGTTTGTTTTGATCTTGTTGGGCTTCCTGTGGTAGAATTTAGGGAATACCAATCATTTAAATATAACTCATATTCTTTGTTTGAATTATACTAATTTTGATATTTTAATATTCTAAGCGTTGTTAATGGAGAAAAAAATGATGTCAAAGGGAATCAAGGGTGGTGTAGCGCTAGCTCGCTCGCCTCACACGTCTGGGTATCAGGGTTCGAAACTTGAATTCAGCCCAACGTCACGTGAGCTGAGTTTTTTTTCAAGGCCATTCCATATTTGAGTTAGCTGCTGCGTCCTGACTAACCATCCACGTGGTTAAAGTCGATGATGAATTAAGGCCCCGTCAACGCGTATCCGGAAATTTTTGTATCCGCAATTTTTTTTATTTTTTTTTTGCGGATACGAAAATGTTCGCGTCCACACGCAGCGTATTCGATTTGTTTTCGAATCGTTTTCACTGTCCACACGTATCCGGAAATTTCTTGATCCGCCCTGATGCAAGCTAGTGCCTAGTCCCTTTGACGAATAGTTTTCTTAGCATGCGCAAAATCGTGTTTACGTCAGCGTATTCGAAAATTTGCGGATACGACCGTCCACACGTATCCGTATTCGGAGCATATTTGAAAATTTC